TGATTTTTATAAACATCTGGTTAATTGGGTCACAGTCCTCAAGTAAACCTATAAATGGCATTGCGTTTGATAGATAAAATGAAAGACTAAAGAAAAATTATTTAAAAACCACCAAAACCAGTCTCTTTTAAAGAAGCAAAGGAAAATGTGTTCCAAGACATAAATTTGAGTCAATTTACCGTGTGTCAGTTAAGAGAATTAGAAAATTTGAGCTCAAATTAAATTAATGAACAGATTTCCTTCTTTATTGATTTATTGGATTATCATGGCTCAACTATTTTACAGATTATTAATGATCACCTATTTTCCATCAGTCCTAAACCAACACTTCTAATTAAAACTCCAACATTTCCAAATCAGTACTTACCATATTGGATAATTTTACCTGTCATCTCTCACTCAGAAACATGGCACTTCCTTCCTTTGAATCATTCAAATCCTCCTAATGTATTCAGTTTATTGATTTCTTTCTTTCTTTTTTTTAAAGTTTCCCAACCAGGGACAGAACCTGTGCCCTTTACAGTGGAAGTGAAGAGCCCTAACCACTGAACTGCTAGAGAATTCCCTATTGATTTTTCTCATTGCTTCATTCACCCCAAAAAGAGATGATCAGCTCTTTTACTTTCAACCCTTAACTCCACTGACTCTCAATGAATCAACACTTGAAAAACCCAATACTTGATAATGCTAACCAGCCATTCTTTCTGCTCTGGTTTCCAGAGATTAGAGAACTAATGGGGGGAGGAGCAAAATGGACATACTAGAAGTTTTAAAAGAGTACACCAATTTATCCATGGCCACTTACAACTTTCTACTTATGCCTCAGTTCCTAGGCATAATTTCCAACAAGATGAGAACTTCTTTAAAATACAACATAATATTCCCACAAAATCAAACTTTGATGCTTTGCAACCTCTCCTCTTAACTACTGACAAGTTCAAGAGTTATTACTGATGAGATCAATGGTCATTTTGCCAAAATTGAGAATGAGGCCTCAATTTTCACTTCTCTCTCCATTTTAATTAACATAACCTTGTCTTTGTGTCTTCTATTACTTCAGGGTAAAAAAAAAAAAGATTGTTCTTCTTTTCCTCTGAAGAGAATTTTACCACCTCTGAGGATTCTATGATATCCTAACTTTGTAATGCCCTATTCTCATACCTGTCCTTTTTGGCAACAATCTTTCCTACTTCACCAGTTCCTTGACACTGTTGCATTTGACAATAAGTCACTTAAAAAAAAAAAAATTAAGATTCTCTTCCCCCAGACTACTGTTATGACATTGTCCCATTTCTAGTTTTCATTTACATCTCAAATTGGGCATATACTGGTTTCTTTTATACTATTTCATCTTTACTGCTTAGCATTCCCTTCTCCCCACCAACTTTATTTATTTATATTTATTTATTTGTCTGTGCTGGGTCTTCACTGAGGCATGTAGGACTTTTTAGTTGCAGCACGCAGGATGTTTAGTTGCGACATGCAAACTCTTAGTTGCAGCATGTGGGATCTAATTCCCTGACCAGCGATGGAACTCGGGCTCCTCTGCACTGGGAGTGCAGAGTCTTAGCCACTGGGCAACCGGGGAAGTCCCTCCCCAAATAGTTGAGAACTACTGTTCACCATTTTCTATGGAGAATTAATTTATTCTCATAGATACCATACTTAAATCTATGCAATAATTCTCCAATTCAATTTTTCCCACAATTTTAACCTCTTTTCTGAGGCCCATTCTAATCTTCTGAAGGTGTAATAAACATTTATATTTTTATGACTTACTGTTAGTAAGACAATTCCAATCTGACACAACCAAACTTTGCATCAACTTTCCCATCTAAAGCACATTCTCTATCTTTTGAATGATCCAAGCAATTCTCTATTACTCAAATTGGAAAAAGTGTCACATCCTTAATTTCCTTATCCAGTTAGTAGTCAATTCATCATTTAGGCTGTGTGACACTATCCTCATCAAAGAGAAGGGGCAAAGAATTCCCCATCCAAAACAGTTAATCTCATCAATTCTTGTTGCTACACTCACTACAGTCTGACTTCTAGTTTAATCTCAAATGAAAAGATCTCTTTCATTCCTTTATCCAATACTTTATAATAGCTTCGTACTATCAACTATATATAAAGCCTAAACATGCCTAGTGATGGGTCCTCTGAACTCTGACAATTGCCTTCATATCCTGAAAGAAAGTTAAGTCACTCAGTCATGCTCGACTCTTTGTGACCAAGGACTCTAGCCCACCAAGCTCCTCTGTCCATGGAATTCTCCAGGCAAGAATACTGGAGTGGGTTGCCATTTCCTTCTCCAGGGGGTCTTCCCAACCCAGGGATGGAACCCAGATCTCCTGCATAGCAGGCAGACTCTTTACTGACTGAGCCACCAGGGAAAACTTTCAAAGTCTATTTACTATTTTTCTCTACAACTGCATTTCTCAAACTTTTTGGTCTCAAGACGCTCTTCAGTCCTAAAAAATCACTGAGGATCCTAAAAATCTCCAGTTTAAGTGGATTCTATCTATCAACATTTACTATACCAGAAATAAAAATTGAGAAAAATTTTAAACACAAGAAAGCAGAGCACACATTCCATTAACTGTCAGGGCAAGGATGTCATCACACATCATACAGTTTGGAGAACTCTATTGACACTGAAAGAATGAGAGTGAAAAAGGCAAAAAACAGCTAAGTACTATTCTGAACAGTGCTGACCTCAGAAACCCTGGCTCACTTTTAGGACACTGCTCTATCCAACCTTGCTTCTCTTAATACATCTCCCTATCAATCACTGACGATTACTGATGAGTAATTTTTGTGTGCATCAATAACCTTAAGGCAGAAAAAAAAAAAGGCAAGAACCAAAGACTTATAAGATAATCCTGAAGCTCTTTAGCATGCTTTCTCATTCAGAGTCTAACCTAACATCAATTTTATTCCCTGCTACTGCCATTTCCTTCTCCTCCGCCGCACTCCAAGGTTGGAATCCCCAAATAAAACAAACGTTTTTCTGCTTCAGCATCTTTGAATACACTATTCCCTCAGCCTGAAAGGAATTTCTTTTACTCACCCATCAGACCATGAGACCCATCAGTATATAGGTTACCTCTTCTATGAAGCTCTTCCTTAACACATTCCACTCCCACTTACACTTTTCTCTGTAATTCCATACCATAATTCCACACTGCACTGGGATTATGGTTTATATGTCTGTCTCTGAATCAATACTAAGCTATACGAGGGCACTCTTGCATGTTACTCATCTCTGTATTCTATTATCTCACACAAAGTGGGAACCCAAACGTTAAGGTCATTCACTTGAAGCTGTCTTTCAAAGACCAATCCAATGCTCATCTATCCTCAAATATTTGAGACCACAGCACTTGCTCTTTCCTTTGAGCTTCTGCAGTACTATGTAGAAACTAGGAAGTGAGAAAAGTCTAAAGGAAACAGTTACTCCTTCAGACAAACAGACTGGAGACTTTGGCTTATAGGATGAAATCTAACTCCTTAGTGTAACATTCAAGGTCCTTCATCAAGTGGCTCTTCACCTTTTCAATCTTATTTTCTATTATCTTGCAATATGAACTTTCCACTCCTGTCATCCAAAACACATACACACACGTATCATTCATCCTGTTTTCATTCCTTTTTGTTTATATGCTTCCCTCTCGGATTCCCATTTTTCTGTTATTTTAAATCCTACTTTTTCCTTAAAAGCTTCCTTCAACATATAAAAATTTCATGAAGCTCTCTGGAACTACGCCAGACTAAAGGAAAATTTCCCCTCTTGGGATGTCTAATGCATTTCAGTCTGCTTCCTATAATCTAGTATTTATAGTATATTGTCTTGCATTGTTCTTTAGTAATTTCAAGTAAGTCAATGCTGCAGTTCCAAATAGCTCAACAGCTCTTTAAGAGCAAGCAATCTCCACTCAAAACATTTGAGTGCCATTATGTACTTGATACTGGTAAGATTTCTAATCTTATTTCTTTTGCATTATCCCTTGCTAGACAGGAAGATGAAGGAATTTCATAAACACTATTCCCTTTACTTGATTTTCTTTCTAACTGGTCACAAGAATCCAGGTTATTTTTTTTCTAGGGAACATTTTACCTATAGGTACAGCTCTCAATTTGACGGTAAAATATGTGCTCTAAAATGCATCTTCTCAGCACTCTAAAACTGCAAGCTTAAATAAGACACTTCATGTACAGGTAACTTACTCCTGAGTCCTCAGTATAGTTACTTTTGAAGTGCCCTTCCCTCTTTTGCTCCTTTATCTTGAATATATGTTTTCTTATTTGTTATTATAATTTTAGCTCCCTTAACACTTTCTGTGTGGTTATGGGTAATAGTGCTAGACTATTTAACTAGAGTCAAAGAAATGAGGCAAGTAAAAACCATCCATAAAATAAAAACAATCTTTGAAAACCAAGAAGTTATGGTAATTAGGTCTCAGGCCATTACTTTTCCTTAAATGGAATTTGTCTAAGGGGCCACATCTTCCCTATTACCACGTCCTTAAGTATCCACACCCAAATGGAGCATAAACATAACCATCAAAACTTGCTCCCTGATATAACGGATTGAGGATAACTTCTGAAGATGATTTTGTCCAATTCTTCACGCTTTTGCATATGGGATAAAGTCAGTAAGAAGGAATAACAGAAAAATATAGTTAAAAAATAATTAAAAGATTTAGGATCCTCTAAGACCTGGCTGTTTCCAAGTGTATCAGCCACAACTGAATGTTGAACGCTAATCACTAAACGCTAGAAGAGAGATCTTAGGTTGCCAGCAGTTCTTTCTGACATACATATGAGAATATTCCTTAAAAAAGACAATCTCAGAGTGAGTTTCGTGTAAGAAGAAACGGGGATTACTGATGAATGAGGAAAGAAAGGAAGAAGATATCAGCTGACAATGCAGCAACTCCCTCATCCCCTTTTACCCCTCCCCAAAAGCTGTAGGAAATAGAAGCTGCGGAATGTACCTTCCAGGCCAGAAGCAAAACATTGAGGATGGCCAGTAAAGGGCAGGGGCCATTCTCATTCTGGGTGATGATAGGTGTGTTCTCTTCCTTCCACTGGATCCACTTGATATGATAGACAGACTGTCCCGGGAAGCGTTCCTTGGAGGCCGCCAGCACCTGGGCTGTCTCCCCTTCCTCCTCCTCCACCTCCTCCTCTCCACACAGGGGCACAGCCCCAGGCAACACCGCCGCGCCCTCCTCCTCCTCTGGGATCCTGTTCTCAGCTCCTTCCTCACTATTAAACTCGGAGCTACTGGGAAAAGAATGTAGGTTAGAGAACGACTCCAGGGAGTCCAGGCTCGGCGATTCCCCAGGAGGGCTCGGGTCGCTGCAACTGCTGCTGAGGCCGCCGCCGCTGCTGGGCTCCGAAGAGCCCGCGGCCGCCGACTCTTCCCGGCAGGTGCCGGCGGGATCCGGGCGGGCGCCCGCTTCTCCGGCAGGACCCAGCCCATGGTCAGCTCCGGCCTCGGCTGTCTCCGGGGAGGCGGTCACCTTGTGTTGCCCTCTTAGAGGCTCCTTCTGGGCAGCAGGACTCTCCAAATCGCTCTCCTTCAAGTCCAAGCTCGGGAGCGAGCTGCAGGGTACCAGAACCTGAGGAGAGCCGGCGGGAGAAGCCGAGTCCGAGAGGCTCCTCCCGGCGGCCACCGCCCCCTGCCCCTTCCCGCCGCTGTTCTCCGCCGCCCATACTCCAGGACCATCCCCAGCGGCGAGCCGGGTCTCTTGTTGCCCTTCCTGCGGAGAACCTGTCCCTGGCGCTGGCCCGGCGGCCACCCCGTGTTCTAGCGGTTGCAGGCTCTCGGGGCCGCTCTCCATACCCAGCCGCCCGCCCCTCGCTCTAAAGAGACCGCGGCGGGTTCTCCTCAGACAGCGCCTCAGACGCCATGACAGCGGCACTGGCAGCTACAGCGCCCTTGCGCGGCCTCGGCCAGGCACGTCACGGGGGAGGGCACCGGGAGCGCGCGCGCGCGCCGCCGCGCTGTCCGTGGGCCCTGGGCGTGCCTGCGCGCCGCCGGGTGAAAGGGACACTCACAGCGACCGCCCACGGGGCTCCGCCTCGCCTGCACGCCCGCGCGCTCTTGCCAGCGCGGGGCGTGGAGGGCGTGGCTAGGAGGGCGTGGCCGGGAGAAAAACATCCTCTCATTTTGTGGCCGGAAGTTGAACTCTGGGGCAGCTAGACCGCGCGCGGCTTCTTTAAAGGCGAGCGGGGAGGCGGTCATCTCGGTTGTGACCCTTCAGAGCTGAGTCGTGTGTGGTTCAGCGTGGGGCTGAGGGATGGGGAGTTGGCAGCAGTTGTATTTTTAAAAGAACTCGTCCCTGAAAAGCTCAGATTTGTTTCCCCAGCTTGTAATATGGAAAATTGAAGGAATTTCTTACGAAATGTAAATTTTAAAGGCTGGGATCCACTCAAGGTGTTTGGATTACTACACTGCACAATTTCCAGTCTCTCTCGGTTTTGGCTGAGAAACATCCTGCTCCTCTTCAGCTACTGGGGAAAACGTTCGCTCTACATGAGGCGTCAGTGCGTTTGTGGATATTGGCCTGCGCGGCAAAAAAAAAAGTGGGTGATTTGGGCCAATCATAATAAATTAACTTGTGCTTGCATTAGCCAAGTCTTTGCGGTTTTAACTTGGTCTCATTTTGCATGGAGTGGGAAGTGCCTGTGTCAGAAAAAGTGAGTTTTCTATTGAGTGTACTCCTCTTAAGGACATTCAGTTTTCAGAGAGGGCAGAGTAGGCTGGTGCTACTCTGATCTGTGATCTGTTCCTGACGGGGGCTTTTTTCTTTTTTTTGCCTTTCAACATTCTTTAGGTAATGGGGATCGGAAAATGGCAAGACATATCTTCCTTCCTAGTCAGATACATCAGTTCCTGATATCTAACAGAATGTGGTCTTTCTGTATCTCTTGATTAGAGAAGACAGACAAAGTTACTAAGCAGTGTTTCATTCACTCATTTAACATATTTCAGTACCCATTACATTGCTGGATTCTGTGGCACTAGGGATGCCATGGTGAATAAGAGGAAGGGCTCATATCTTCTTGCTGTTTACTGTCTGATGCTTTTTCTTATTGCTACATTTTTTATATTTGCTTGGGAAATACTATTTCCTGACAATGCAGAAATGACATTCCTTCCACCTTTTTTACAGTGACATAATATGATACTTATCCAATTCTTGGCAAAGAGGAAAATTAGAAGAGATAATAGAAAGCTTCTTTAGAATATTGAATTTAGGAGTTTTGTGTGTTTTTGGTCTCCGTGTCAATCCATAAGCAATAAATACTATTGTTCAGATTAGAATCTTTCCCTGAAAAAGAATTGCAAATGTTAACAGATTAAGATATATGTTGCTAGATTAAGCACTTTACAGTATTTAAGATCATTAAGTACAAGTGAGAATATTACAGATTTCAGGAAATTCAGAAGTCAGCATGCTGCCTTGATTATAAAAAGGATATTTATAAGTGTATTGCATGAAAAAAAATTGAATAGATGAATCATTTTTACAGGCCAGAAACCATAGTAGAGCTAAAAATCTTGAAAGTGCAAAAGGAAAAAAAAAAATCTTGAAACTGCATCTCAAATAATGACCATTCACCATTTTTCAATTGCTACTGCTACTGCTAAGTCATTTCAGTCGTGTCCGACTCTGTGTGACCCCATCCCTGGGATTCTCCAGGCAAGAACACTGGAGTGGGTTACCATTTCCTTCTCTAATGCATAAAAGTGAAAAGTGAAAGTGAAGTCTCTCAGTCATGTCTGACTCTTCGAGACCCCATGGACTGCAGCCTACCAGGCTCCTCCATCCATGGGATTTTCCAGGTAAGAGTACTGGAGTGGGGTGCCATTGCCTTCTCCGACCATTTTTCAGAATTGCTACTTAAACCTTCTTGCTCTTGTAGTTTTTATTAGTATATGTTTCAAATGTTCACATGCATAGTTTAATGGCTTATCTATAATAAAAACAGAATCAGTTTTTTTCATAGCAACTATATAATCAAGATGACCAAATATATATATTTATTTAAGTTTGTGAAATTGTGCAAAGTATTTTCTAAGAGAGGTGGCCAGTAGCATCTAGGGAGAAATGTCAGAAGATACTAAATTGGAAAATATCCCATTCTTTTTTGCTTATTTGCATCTCTAGTTAAAATAGATCATTTTAAAAACAAACTTGTTATTATCCATAATTTTTAATTTTTTTTTCAGGGTTACAGATGTAATAGCCTTAAAAGTCAAATGTTGTTGTTATTTAGTCTCTAAGTCCTTTCCCACGTTTTATGACCTCATGGACTGTAGCCCGCCAGGTTCCTCTGTCTATAGTATTTCCCTGCAAGAATACTGGTGTTGTCATTTCCTTCTCTAGGGGATCCTTCCAACCCAGGGGTGGAACCCGCATCTCCTACATTGGCGGGCAGGTTCTTTGTCATTGAGCCACCAGGAAGTCCAAAAGTCAGATAGTTTATGTAAAAAAGCAGTTACTGCTCTATCCCTCCACACTGATGCAGTCCTGTTCAACACCTAGATGTCTTTAGCTCCTTATCCCCATATTTCTGAGCAACATGATTATACTCTAATGTCTTCATTTAAAAGTTGTAGATATTGTTTATTGATTTAGTCCTATGAAAGATGAGGATTTAATTTTTTTTCTTTCATACCACTTTTTCCTTCTTTGCTCCTTTCCTTCTTTTGCTCCAACCTCCCAATTTTTTTCAAAATTTTGATCAAAGTACTCAAAAGGTAAAGCATTAGATTTATTCACCACAAAATCAGGTATTTTACTGTGACTGTGATTACTTTTTTTGCTAAAGTTTTGTTTTCCCTGGAATTAACAATTGCCTTGTCAGTTTGTTGCTTGGCTTTAAAACTCTTCACCTATCACGAACTCAGCCAGACTTACTAGTACTGTCAACCATATCATGTTACTCCTCAGACCCATTTTAATCTTGTGTACATCTCTCCTGAACACTCATTTCTGCTCTGATCTGGACTTGTTGTTTTATAGGCCTGCTAAGCAGCTGTCATCCTGGGATTTCTTTTTTCTGTTGTTTTATGAATTGCTTCTTCCTCTCTTCTGTGTTGATTCCTTTCTTTCTTGGATCTCCTGTCTTCCTGTTTCCTTGATTTGGTGGAATATATTCTCAGCTTCCTGAGAAAGAGTACATAGGAAGCATATTTTTGTAGGTTATATTTGTCTGAAAATAGCTGGACCTTTATTCTACTTTTATATTGTATAGTTTGGCTGGAATATAAAACTCAGCATTGGAGATACTTTTTCTTCATTTTAGTTGTTGAGAAACTGTCTTTTAGCTTCCAGGAGATTATAGAGTAGTCTGATACTATTAGATTCTGAAACCTTTTTATATAACCTAGTTCTTCTCTCTGACATTTATTTGATCTCTTTCTTCTTGGTGTTCCACCATTTCAGTATTTGATATACTTCTGGGTGGGTCTTGCTTTATTCATTGCACTGGGTATTTGGTGATCGCATTCAGTGTAGAGACACATCCTTCAGGTCTGGGAAATGTCCTTTTCCTTTCTTTTATAAATCTTATATTTTCTCTAATTGTATTTATCTTTTTGTTCTGTTTTCTAAGAGATTTACTCAAATTTATCTTTCAGTTCTTTTTGATGCATTACTTATTGACACTATTGTATATTTAATGTCCAAGAGTTCCTTCTAGTTCCTTTCATCTCTTAGAACACTGATCATACTTTTTAATATATCCTTTATATTTTTCAAAGGATGTCTGAACCATATGCTATAAAATAGTATCGTTTAGTTAGTATGGAGTTATTGGTAGTGCCAGAGAATGAGATATTGGGATACTAGTGTAAAACATTTGTTTTATTCTTTAGGAGAGCAAAATCTACTTTGAGAAATAAGACATTTATGTGAATTGGTCATTAATAATACAAGTTAATTAATAGTTAATTCTGAAGGAGTGGTATAAGCAGTAACTTAAAAAGATTCAGATGAGAAAAAAAATCTTTTAGTGTGAGATAATGAAGGAGTAATTAAACTATACTCTCCTGATTAAAATCACAGGCTGATTATTACTTCAGCCTTAAGAAATCTAAAAAATGTATTTCTAACTCTCAAAATAATAGTTTTTTTTCCTTTTTTAAATTAATTTTATTGGAGTATAATTGCTTTACAGTGTTGTGTTAATATCTGCTGTGCAGCAAAGTGAATCAGCTCTACATATACGTACACCCTGTCTTTTTTGGATTTCCTTCCCTATTAAGTCACCACAGAGCACTGAATAGAGTTTCCCTGTGCTATGCAATAGTTTCTTATTATTTATCTATTTTATACATAGTACTGTACATATATCAATCCCAATATCCCAATTAATCTCACCTCTCCTCCTTTCCCCCTTGGTATCCATAAGTTTGTTCTCCATGTCTGTGTCTTTATTCCTGCTTTGGAAATAAATTCATCTTTATCATCAGAATGATAATTCTTTTAAAATTCTCTGTTTTTCATGGTTAGATCATGGCTTTTCTAGCTACCATGACAGAAAAAATTGATGCTGTATCTGGCTTTTACCGGAATTGATTTACTATTAACTCATCTGTCAAGTCTTGCTGATATTGTACACCCCTTTACTATTTCATTTATGTATAGCCTCTTCCTCACTGAGTCCTTATCATTTTTCTACTAGAATCTAGCAGCATTTTAGTTATTCCCAGTCTATGATTTTGTCTTCGTCACCTTATCCTGCATAAGCCTATCAGAGCTTTAATTTGAACATCTTGCTTTTATTTTGGGGATTCTACTAAAAATAATGCAGTGGTTCTTTATTGTTAGTTGAGTCAAAATTGGCTCTGATTACTGCACAGGTACAAGACATGTATACCTTTACTCCTCTTAGCATTTTACACAAGAGAGAGTGATAAAATTCTGAGTTAAAATCAAGGGTTTCCATGTAATTCAAATTGCCCTGGCTCTGGCCCTCAAGTGACTATGCAGAAATTCCAGCCTCCTGTAAAGTACATCCCGTACTTAATTATTTCTGAGAGCCCCCATGAGGAGTCCCACACCTGTTCAGAAACAAATCCAATCCTATGATATTCTACCAGGTGCTGCTTCTACTACATGCTGTTTCACCAGATGCTAGTCTGTTCTGGTGGTGTTAAAGATACATGATTGTGACCGGAGGGAAGTGACCTTCTTTTCCCTTTTACTGTAGCTCTAATGTGCTACAGCATTA